ATGAGGAGAAATCCTGGAATATGTGTACAGCTCGTTCCCAAAACGCCTCTTCAGCAACTCCAAGAGAATAAAGATCTGGTCCACTGATCCAGGGTGAAGGTCTCACTCCTCCTAAATCCAAGTTCCTACAATTCCTCTGAGACTTTTATACAGCATCCTCTTGATGAAATCTTCTCAGGGAAACTAAAGAAATGTTTTCTTAAATGAATAACAGTCAAAATAAATGTGTATTTCTGTCATCAATTTAAATGAAAAGCAGAAACAACAAATGTATCCAGCAACAATAAGCCTGTGTGGTTAAATGCTGGGATTTATTTTCCTTCTGTCATAAAATGATTAGAAGGTCGTTAATAAGCCACACGTTGCACCAGTCATGTTTTCCCATTAGGATGAATGGAGGCGCTCTTGTTTTATTTCCAATCAGTCCCCAATAAATCATGCAGCTGCTGTAAAAACTCTGCAGAGCATCAGATGTAAATTCATCTACAGCCAAATGTTGTGAGATGTTTGCTAAAACCGCAATACCTTGCATTTTCAACACACCATTAAATAGAATCAAGTTCTTTATTCTTGATTGGAATCGTTCATGAAACAGAAGCATGTATGCTTCTGTATGTATGCCAGTAAGTATGCCAGTTTCTAGCTTAATTGGGTCTTTTGTTTTTTAAAATTAATCTTTTGTGTCTTTGCTGACAGTTTGATGGTAGTTTATTTAGTGTTGGATGGAATTAAATATTTGTTTCCACTAACAGAAATAGATGTTAATATCTGCTGTCCACTTCTCCAGAATAGATTTTTACAGCATTCTTTAACCAAACCATAAACTAATATCCAATAGTTATTTATTGAAGGTGTACAATAGCATACAACTATTCCACTAAATGACTCTGTGATTCCAACCGAATGAGGGAAGGAAGCAGCCATGTTTTCGATAAAATCCACCTTCTGCTTCTCTAAGATCTGAACTCAAAGTCAACTTGCCCAGGGGAAAAATCTCAGAATCCCTGTGGTGACCCCGGTCCTCAGGAATTGCTGTCCTGCATGTTGCAGGTGTCTCTCCTCTGCTGCACTCTGATGTAAATGAATGACAGATTAATGGACTACTGCAGCACTTTATAGTATGCTGAGGAGGTAATGCATTTATTTTAATCAGCTGTGCTAGAGAAGTGACATCTAAAGCATGCAGAGAGATGGTCCCTCAGGTTTAGGATTAGAGGCAACTGCAGTAGCTCATTCTGAGGGATTTAAAATGGTTCAAAAACCTGAGTAAATGTCCATTCACCAGGTTCTTTATAGAAAACACCTTTTTGATTAAACAGGGTATGGTTGTTGCTGCCAGAACGGCTGGTCTTAGGGTCTGATCTAGTAGGATCTAGAATGAGAGAAGCAATAACGCTTGCTCAAATCAAAAATCACACATGCAGTTAGTAGGCATGTTGCAAAGGATTTTTTTATTGCATGCCAAATTGATAACAAGTACAAAAGTGGTGCAGACCACCCTATTTGGATGAGATTTTTGTGGGAGCTGCTGGAGGTGTTGGGAGAGCAGTGTCCATTAAATGAGCATAATATTTAAAGGCAATAGAATTAGAGATAACAATATTAGTATATTTCATTTTAAATGCATTTACATATAAGTATCTCAGAGTGCTGCAAAACAGAAAAAATACAAAAATACTGAATCTAGAATTAAGTAATAAAATATCTGCAAAAACCTGCAAAACAGAAATATTTTCAGTCCTTTATTAAAAGGACCTACAGTCAGGGGCTCACATATTATCTGGTTACGAATGTTTGTTTGATTACAAAAATAGCACAATATTTACGTTTAATTGGGGTGGGGTTTTTTTGTTTTTTTTTTCATTTTTTAATGATTTTATTGAATAAAGATTTCTGCAGTCCTGTAGCATTAGGGGTGCCAGGGAATGGCAGCCTGGTGGTTAGGGCATAGAACTTGGAATCCTGAGGTTCTGAGTTGGATCCCCACTCCCACAGCCTGCCACTCTGGCTCTCTGAGCAAGACCCTTAACCCCTCACTGCTCCCCGGGCGCCCCACGATTGCAGCCCACTGCTCCCCAAGGGGATGGGTTAAATGCAGAGTTAAATTTCTCCAATGTGAGATCAATAAAGTTCAGATATTATTATTAATCTGTGCCACACATATGTCTTTCCCTCACATGTTGCAGTACCTGCAGCAAAAAATTCTGCACCACCTTTGTTGGCAATATATAAACTCTCTCAATGCATCTATACATAAAGACAGAAATGAATGTCTGCAAGTCTAAATGCACTGAAGCAACTTTCATTCACAATGTGAAACTGAAGTCATAGAGCAACGGACTAACTCAAATTAATGCTGCTAAAGGTGAGGCATTATATTGATTCATAAGGTTTTTAAGCATAGATTCATTTTATTACCTATTTTATCCTGATTTCTAAAATAACAGCCTAAAATTAAATGCCAATACTATAAAAGAACCTAATAAAGACCTTTTTTTATAACATACATGAAACTCTGGAAAAGAGGACGTTCTATTTTATCGCGGTGGAAAGGGACCATTATATTTTTCTTTAATGAAAGACTTGAAACTTTATTAACGTTTAAGAAATTCTATGTTACAATAAAAAAAAAATAGAAGCCTAATTTAAACAAAGATTATGTCCCATGGAATTTCATGTGCAAATTAAAACAAACTTGCTTTTAGAGCACAACATAGAATGGGGAAGAAGTGACAAAAAATGTATTATCCAGATACAGAGTAGTGCAATTATACAGTTAGCTTGCATGAAACCAAACTTTCCTGTTTATCAGCTTTCTGGACTTTTTGAGGTTTTTTCCATGGACTTAATCTCCCTTTCTCTTCTTTTTCTGTTAGAGTCCTTACACCTCATCATGAAAGCATACTGGGCAGTGTTTGCTTCAGGAAAGTGGACAGAAGATGCGTTAAATCTAAAAAAGGCCACAGCACCTGAACAATGCATTGTATTTCAGTTGATTCATTAATTAATAGCCCAGGGGATTCACCCCGTCGGTAGTAAAACACTAATTTCTGAATGATCAATGATCAGATTTTAAATAAATAAAAAACTTGCATTGTTTTAACCGGGTGCCTTGTAGAAATCCATAAAAAAATGATTAGATGTCGCACTAAACTCTAACAATAACATCCTGTAAATGTTGATCAAGGCTATTTCAAATGTGCTGAATCCTTTAAAGCAAAAAAAGGAAACAAATTTAATTCAAGTAGAAAATTGTGATCAAAAGTTATGTGGAAGTATGTTTCTAACTATGAAGAATCCAAGGGAGTTTTATTTGAAGTGATTCCAAAAAAAAAGGAAGAATCACTATCAGAATAACTAGTTATGGGGGTCTGAGTTTTTATGAAACCTCTAGCTGTTTTTAAAGCACATGATCAACTATTACCTAATGACTAGCATGAGGAATTAGTAGTCAGGATACCTAAGCACAGATATGTAAGTGTAGTGAAATGACAGTGAATCACTGCAAGAAGAGACGAAAAGGAGACCTTTGACATGAGGTCAAAAACAACGCCTCCTCAAATGATCTTAGTTTTAATGCACTGAACCTACTAGAAGAAACAATATCGCCTTCTATTTAAAAAGGGATTAGTGATGGAGATTACCAAGCTTGGCTTTCAACATATTTGTTTAAATTGAACTTGGAAAAGACCTACGGACTAAATTAAGTCAAACAATTTTCAACATATGCTTCTGGGCAAAATTATTACAAAAATAGACATCCGGTGTTTGAAGGGTTGGATATAAAAAAAAAGCATACCCCTCTGCCTCATCCTCTGTAGAACTGGAAAATTTCTGTGTGTTTAGGTAAGAAAATCTAAAATAATTTAAGATTATTTATAAAATTCAAAATTAGCACTTTTCAAAACACTTGCTCTATTTAAAATATTATTTATGGTAAGTAAAAGTGAAACTAGAAACCATCCATTTAAAGCACAGAAACATTGTTCTTTGTTACGGTAACTAAACGTAACTTCTTACTGCTGCAGCCTTTAAACATACAAAGGGGGAGAAAAAATACATTTTTATGTTGCAGCAAATTTTGCATTTTAAATGCAGTCAACTTAATTAAAAACAAATATGTTGTATATTAGATTACTGTTATAAAATCAGAAACAAATCCCCTTTCTCATGTTCCTTTGATATCTGTCCACCATAGTGAAAACAGATAAATCATACATTTTATTTACACCAACCAAATAAATGTTTGAATATTCAAGGTTCAATACTTTCTCTACTCTGGCCTGTTTCTGAAATATATTTCCAGGTAGTCTAGAAGATGTTTGATGCATCATTAAGTGAACTGGCTTTTCACACAGATTTTCATTCATCTACATGAGACTATACATTTAGTTATTAGTTAGGCTTTGCAAAATAGTCATGGTGGTGGCAGCATCATGCTGTGGGGATGTTTTCTTTTTCAGGGAAGAGGAAGTTTGATTTAGCTAAATGCAGGGCAATCCTGGAAAAAATGCTTTTGAAGGCTAAAAAAAATCCCTTTAGATTGGGACAAAGGTTCTCCTTCCCACATACAGCCACAGCTACTATGGAGCAATTTGAATCAATATTCATGCAATGAAATGACTTAATCTACCTGATGATCTGTGGCAAGAATAATAAACTGATGTTTACAGACCTACTTCTTTTAATCCTAGAGAGTCTTTACGCTGTAGGCAATAATAGAGGAATTTAAATTTATTATAGTTTGAGGTTGTACCGTGACTTAATGTAAGGTTGAAAAGGTATGAATAGTTTTTAAAACAAGTTGAATTGTTTTACGCATATGTAAATTGGCCCTTTCCCACTGGCCGGAAAATCAGTTTAAAACTGGGAACAATTGGGTTTTAGTGGCAGTGGGAACAGCTCAGACCTGTGTCGACACGGGTCAAACGACTCAGCAAGCGACTCGTGTTAAAATTGCATCGGCTCTGATCTCCCCGCTAATTTACGTTATACCATTGCAACTTACAGACGTCAACAAACCATGCAAGTTGTACTGATCTAAAAACTTGAACACAAGTCAGCCTCGGCAGATTGCCGCTTACACTACAGTATGCTGGAGGCTATCCCATTAAAAGGGAGTTTTCCTCTCCTGTCGCTACAAGCATGCGAGGGATTGCCTTTGAGTCAGTGAGTCGATGCAATCAACTGTTTTTCTTAAATAGAAAACTTTTAATCAATTTGACTGTATGATTAGGTTGACTTGTAAAGAGCCTTGAGGCGACATGTTTTGTGAATTGGCTCTATATAAATAAACTGAATTGAATTAACCAGCCAAACAACTTTTAACATTTGGTAAACATGACCCAGCACTGGTGAGAGGGATTAGGATAAAAGAGCAAAACAATAAAGCACACTTACTATGACCCTGGGTTCCTTACATGTTGTTCTCCATTGTTTACTTTCTTGATTTCTGTAGCACTGGTGACATCATTGACACTAACCCAGTGTGATGGTGTCACCAGTGGCAGGGCACAGAGGCCATGCGGCCTGCCAGTGGCGGTAGACCCAGCTTTTTTTGCCAATGGGAAGGGAGCCAAATGCTGTTAGCAAGTCGACCCGTGATTGAAAAACAAAAGAGGAAGTGTTGGTTTTGACCTCTCAAACTGCCACCAGAGGGACTTGCCTTTTATGGTGTCTATATGGTGCTGCGGTGTTAATTTGCATCATCATATTCTCTAAATCAAAGTTTATATAAAATTAAAAAGGTTCCTCCCTCATGATGCTGTAAACCAGTAAAACCTGCTCCTCTGCTTCAGCGTTAGTATTTTCAGTGATCTCATCCCCTTCCTCTTGCCTCTGGTGCCCTTTTAAAGATCTCCTGTCGGTTATTAAACCTTCAAGATGAAATCTGATGAGTTTCGTTGGTCCATTATAACCTGCCAGATGCAGTTAGGTAACCGGTGCATGAATTTTCATTGGCCTCCACGGTGGCACAGCGACGGCCCGTTGCATTGTTGATGACCGACTAATTCGAGTTTCCAGATCGGGACGAGCAAAGGAGCTGCTGAAGAGCGTCCTGATTGGCAATACTCTGACAGAGATAAGGTCTGAGATTTAAAGTGGCTCACGGAGATGGAAGTTCGTCTCGGAAAAGCTTGTTAGTCTGAAGGATTATCCCAAGCCTTTCAATTTGACTGTCATTAGATGAATTGTGATTGAATAATAGATGAGATCCTCCCAAGTTCCTGTGCAATGCGACAGTCTTGATCTTCGGTCATCATTTGTGCATCTGAACATCAAGCAGCCTCCCAAAACTCTACCTCTCTCAGGGTCCCCAGGGAATAGAGTCTGTCCTTCGTGTCTGCTCTTTGTTTTGTGTCCTTGTAAAAGCAGCTCTCCCACTCTTTTCTTTTCAACTCACTTTGAGTGATGCAGTATTTTCTCCACCTGTGGGAGTAAGAGGCTGTCTCCCCTATCTGAGAAAAAAAAAAACATACATATTTGTCTCTTTTATCTGTCTCTGCCTATCTATCTGTCTCTTCTTTTACTCTTGTCTTCACTCTACCCTAAAAAGCTCCTTATTACCTCTTGTTGCAGTGGCTCCCCTTTTTTTCTTTAACTTTAAGCAAAGGTCTTTAAATCAGTCATGAAAGCCAGTTCTCACCTTGTCACGAATCTGATAAAGCACCCAGCACAGTCTAATTCCCTTTTAACTCCACTCTGTATTCCCTTCATCTTCAGCATTCTCTTTTTTTTGGTAACAAAACAGGATGTATTACAAGAAAACCATTAGATTCTTTCCGCTCCCCCAGACCCTTGCAATCACAAATCACAGAGCTTATCAGTTTTCTTGAATCATGTTTCCCTGGATCAGAGCCCAATCTATTCTTTATCCTGTAGCTAATTTTTCTTCAGAATGTTCATTCGTGTCTTTTGTTTCCTGTTTTTCCCCCCCCTCAAACAAAGTCCTTAGAAATAGCTTCCACAAAGTTAGGAGCCGACATGAGAATGGAGATGGTGCAGATGATGTTGAAAACACTAAACGCCACCAGACAGAGGCGGTCAATCACAGCACCTGCGAATTTCCACTGATCAGCCATGCTCTCCGACTCATCCTGCTCTCTGAAGCGGTCTGCCATGTAGCGCACCTCCTCCAGGATAGCCTGCAGCTGAGGGTCTCCCATCACGGACGTCGAGCACCCTCCTGCTCCCCCTCCAAACCCTCCGCCACTAGAGACAGTGCTGGGACACCCTATTGTATCCATGTTTGGAGTTGGAGGAGGGGGGGAGCTGCAGAACTGAGATGGAAGGTGAGGAGGAGGACTTCCTGCCACCCGGGGAGGTCCAACAGAAATGTTATTCCTCTGGACGGGCTCTGAGAGCACAGAAGAATCCTCAATGCTCTGGAAACCCATATAGAGAAGATTCCCGTTATTGTTGGCACTGGTTTGCAGATGAGGGTGTCCAGCATGGAGGGGCCCCGTCTGGAGAGGTGTCAGATTCTGTGGGTGCAGGGGGTGGAGGGTTGGATCGGGAGGGTTTGGAATGCTGCCGCTCTGTGATCCCGAGGAGCATCGCCGCAGGTGAGGGGCGCAGGGAGGTCGTTCTGGATCGTCGTTCTCCCCTGGACGCTTCATCCTGAGGAACCAGGCTACCCACTGCAACAAAACGATCCGCACCTTAAGGGAGAAAAGAACACGTTGAGATACAAACCTTTCCACAGCTATTCACTCTCCTTAATGTTTTTCACATCTTGTTGTGGTGCAACCAAAAATCTCAATGTGTTTAATTAACATTTCATTTGCCAAAGACCAACAGTAGGCACTGAAAAATCAAGGATGGAAAATCAGGTTTTCAAAACATTACAAGAAATAGGAGAAGAATAGTAACTCTGGTGGAGCTGCAGGGATCCACAGCTCAGGTGGAACCTGTTGCCAGCACAGCTATGAGTGCTGCACTTCATAAAAAGAAAAAAATCATTAGTTCTTGTGTTGTCTGGTAAAACCTGTGTGTGGGACCCGGCGAAAATATGCAGATCAGATGAGATCAGAATGTTCCTTCATACAGCCAGAGCAGCAATGTGAAGAAAGGCTCAATCAAGGTTGAGTTATTGTCAACAATCCTAAATCCAGTCAAACTGAACACAGGCTTTTTCTGCAAAGAACGTTCAACATTTTCTGTTTCTAGATGAGCAAAGACATGATGTACCTAAAGACTGGAAGCTTTAATTGCAGCGAAACATAGTCTGACAAACCATCAAATCAGGAGGACTGAAACTTTTTCTTACGGTATTTTATTAAAAAACATCAAAAATCATGGATCATTGTTTCAAAATTACATAAACTGCTTTAAACTTGAAAAAGACATATCTTAGAAACATTAAACTTTATGGTTGTAACATGATGAATTCTGAACATTTTCAAATGGGATGAATACTTTTTGAAGGCACCGTGAGCCTCTACAGGAATGACCTTTAATATTGACTACCACACTGTTATAAAAACACTACAATCATCCCCTCTTGCCCTCCGCAGAGCTTTAATTAAGTTGATCTAAAAGCTTCTGTGGTTTGGATGCTGACTCTGTTTTCAATGTTGTGGTTTGTTTTACTCTGCTGCAGCTTTGTCTTTGTATTAACATCGTTTCAAGTGTTGGTTGGTTAGAGTCCCTCAGGCAAAAAATAAAAATTCTTTTAGCCTTTGCCAGATTTCCTACAGAGACTCCCAGTTACTTAAAAGTGTAGCCTTATATTGAAACTGTGGACTCACTGAGATGGACTGTGTGATTAGCGTTTTATTACCCCCATGAGCCGGCAGAGCAGTGTTTCAGTGAGCTACAGCATTAGATAAAAACAGCACAAATTGGTTTGGATTTAAAACTTCTGTTCCTCTCCTTCTGTCCAATCCATAATAGAAAGAAAAAAAAGCCCATGTGTCTCATGTACAGGCAGACGGACCCAGCAGCATCCAGATGGGGGTCTGGCTGCTAAATGAGACCTAATGTCCAGATGACTGCTCAATTAGTGTCTGCAGAACATCTTCCCAAGTCAGGTTTCCGACACTGATGTTGTTTTTGTGCAGTGGTCTAATTATGAACTGCACACACTTCACGCACTAATCTAAATCTCATCAATTAGTTTGCTAATTGGCCATTGGATTGTCTACAAAGGCCATCCATCAACAGAACGTCCTTGCAATGTGTCAGAGCAGAAGGCACCAGCATGCACAAGCAGCCTGCAAAGTTCCACATATCATTAACTGAAGCCATGTTTTGCAGGGGGACGCAGAAACCAGTAAATGTATAGTTAAAATTATAAACAGTGCAGGAAAAAAAAAAACTTTCTATATAAAGACTTGATGCTTTTTTCCTGGAACAGAAGGTAAGAAAAACAGAAGCAGAGAACAAGTCAAACTGAATCCACCCACATATCCAGGGTGCTTTGAAAAGCATGCCTGCTGTAGTTTGCGATGAGGCATTTGATGAAAACACGAAGGAGGACTGCCACTGCTGGATGAGTCACTGCCAATGAAGTCGGTGAAGAAAAAGAGAAAGTGGCATAGCAGCATACTGTTCACTTCCGAGCGAATAAAAACGTCCCTGAGAACTGGGCAGAAAATCGGGGTTACAGAAGGAGCGTGTCAAGAAAGGCTGAGTTCAGCTGCAAAATGACTAAAAGCATGATAAATGTGTCTTTTAATGTGTCTGAGCTCAGCCTTACCCATTTTGGCATGTTTCCTCCGTTTGGATCATGGTGATGATACTGTAAAACAACCACTGTGGCAACGACTGACATCCCAACGATGATCATTATGCTGGCAAAGTACTGACCTGAAGAGGAGGAGGAGGAGGAGGAGGAGGTGAAGGCCCTGTAATGATTCATTTAAAGTCAGACCGGCAGTTTCTGAGCTAATATTTTAGCCGGAAAAAAAAAAAAAACACTGACAAGGTTAACATCTCATTCATACACCTTCTTGCTACTGGAGTTCGCAATAAAGTTTTATTTCTTTCTAAGCACTTTGAGGTCAAAGACTAAGTCATATTTAGATTTTGAAGACGTAAATCAATCCATAACGTCATTTTAAACTTTTCTGATGCTGGATGTCATTATAAGAGCCTACTTGCTTATTCTGTTCATGTCAGCAAAATCAAACAGATGAAGATTAAGGTAGTTAGTCTTTATAAAGGATGAAAAAAGCTGACAGCAGCAGCTGATGTTTTTTTTAAGCTTTTAAACTCAAGGTGTTGTGTCCTGAGAAAAGATTTGCATCTGTCTCTGGCTGAGGTTCCTTCCCTCTAAAGTTAATTCTCAGCAGTGTGGCCGCTATAAATTCAGTCCATTAAATTTCAGGGTGAGCAGGTGTGTTTTGTAAATTCAGCTTCTTTTTTCGGGGTACTTTTTTTTCAGCTTCATGTTATGACACCGTATCATTTTCTTATAGTAGGATAGAGTGTTTGATAATGATACCCTGTGTGATAAACCCGCCAACTGCATGGCCCTGCAGATCAATGTAGTTCAGCTAGACAATAAATGAGCCAGCAATGACCAGATCATAGATAAATGAAAATAAAAGGAGAGATGATTTGAAGAAGGAGACACCAAAGGGCCTTTTGTTTCAGCAGGAAAATAACTTGGCATTAATTTGGACCAACCAGTCTGTACCTTTGGAAAAAGCAAAGCAGGAAGGATAAAGAATAGATTAAATGGATTTTTTTGGGGGTGAGGTAGTGTACTGAATTGATTTGCTGTTTTAGAATCAAATTTTAATTTAAGGGGTAAGATTAATTAAATGTGACTTTATTCAGTTAGATTTGTCTCTAAGGCTTGTTGTATAGTGCAATAGGGTTGGAAATAGTTTAAGCACATTGGAACAGAAACGAGTAGAACCCTAAGAAGAGATGATAGTGGAATAAAAGAGACAGAATAATGATTAAAAAAGAAGTAAAGATTGTGAAATGCATTTATGAAGAAGAGATGAAAAGAATATGTATGGTACAAAAATAAATAGAAAAGACGAGGAGGATGACAGATGAAAATGGATTATTAAGAACATCTATGAGGATGTTGGGAAAAGTATCACAGGGATTTAAAGGACAATCAAGATTTAAAAATATACAGTAGATTATAAATAAGCTAAAGAGGTGGAAAAAGAATGAGTCTTTAAAATGGGTGTTAAAATGGGTAGCATAATAAGGTATGAGTGAGATAAAAATGAATGAAAAGTAATGAGAGACGAGAGGATGAATGTTCTGAACAGGGTCTAAAGGGGGATCTAGGAGGAGAGATAGAAAATTTTATGGATAGTAATTAGGACTGGCAGAAAATGCTTTAAGAAGGATAAAAGACAATAAGTGGGATAAACAGAGGTGAGCAAAGGGTGTGTGAGGGATCAGTTAGATGATACGATGTTTTAAAAGGGATGAGGAGGGTTAGTGGGATGGTGAACTGTCATAAAGAGAAATGAATGGGATAAAAATAATCATAAAGATCTAAGAGGAAGATGAGAGGGATGAAAATAGATTATAAGGAGGGCTCATGATGATAGGTGGGATGAAAGGGAAATAAAAAAGGATGAGGAAGATAAGTGCGTTAAAAAAGAGGTATAAAGAGGGATGAGGAAGATAAGTGGGATAAAAAGGGGAAAGAGGAATAACAGTTCTATGATGATAAACTGTTTTAAAATGATGGACATAATCTTTTATTAAACTATGATTTTTGTCAAAAACTGGAGAACATTATAAGGTAATTGTTCCCAAAATCTAATTTTATTTTTTTTAATTATCAGACAATCAGTATTGTTTATCAGTCATTGTAAGTCCTTTAAGAAGAGCCACCAACCTGTCCTCTAATTGGACAATAACAGCATATCTAAAGCACAGCAGTCCTGCAGAAACAGCTCAAAAATAGAGGTGCATTTTCCAGGCGCACATATAATTTCCTCATTGGATTGGTTGACCCATTACTTCTTGCACACAGCGTATTTTTGTCTAAATGGTTTTATTTATGATGGATGAACATTACTATAGCGACTACCAACCACCTTTTTGTCGCTTGTGGGTGCGGGGAATCTGAAATTTAACACGCTTAAAAGAGGAGATGGAAACCAGGATATAAGGTATGGGCGTTCCCATTTATTGAAGTACGTTTGTATATGAACAAACTTTCCAAACAATCCGAGTAGCGGTCTTTACATCAAGTGAGATGGATAGGTAACTATGGAGAATGTGAAAGATAACAGAGTTTAACCGGAGGACGCAGGCTATTGTGTGCCAAAGAAAGCGGTAAAAACCGTATGACCTCCCGTCACCCAAAACCCTTTCTGCCCCCTCACGTCTTACCTATAAAGCCTTCCCCTCCACACCGCCACCAGTGGTAGAGCAGAATATAGGTCACCGCCACCCAAAACAAATAACCCAGAAACAAACCATCCCTAAACACAACAACTATAAATGGCTCCTACAATTACATTTTTTTTTCTCTTAACAATTGTTAAGCTAGGTTCTTTCATTTTTGTGGGAGTTTGTTTTTATAGATTTTTTTTCATATAAAAATTGAAAATCAATATTTTATTTTACTGAATTATTATTTAGTACATTTGTATTCATTATTACTTTTTCAGTTTTGTGTTATTTGAATTGCTTACGGTAAGTTAATTTATTAAGTGAATAATAATAATTGAACTTTATTGATCTCACTCTGGAGAAATTGACCTCTGAATTTAACCCATCCTCTTGGGGAGCAGTGGGCTGCCACTGTGCGGCGCCCGGGGAGCAGTGTGAGGTTAAGGGTCTTGCTCAGAGAGCCAGAGGGGCAGCTGTGGGGATTGAACCAGGTACTTGCAGCTTTCTCAGAGAACAACTGCTCTAACCACTAGGCCAGCACTCCCCCATAATGGAGGTGTATAACAACTTTTAAGCACAACTTTATGTATCTACGGCTCTACCTTAGTTGGATTGTACGCAAATTAATCTGAACTAAACACAAACCTTTGTAGATGTTGTAATCAAATTATATTAAATGTGAAAGAAAACTTCTAAAATGGGAGGATGAGTATGATGAGGGTCATTAATGAAGTGGATTAGAGGGAAAACTGGACTCAAAGAGGGAGGAAGAGGATGAGTGGGATTTACAGAGTCATAAATAGCACTATATGGATAGGAATGGTATGGGGGTTAAAAGAAATTAAAAAGAGATGATAAGGGGTCATAAATTAGGAAAATGAATATTTAAATAAAAACTTTTTTAAATGGTAAATGGTGATGCAAAGTGGACATGAAAAAGGATTTGGAGGATTTGGATAAAGGCTTTGTTCAGAATGATGAGCCAGATGAGTGGCTTATAAACAAGAAGATGTTATTTTTAGTGATGAGAGGAAGTAGAGTGAAAATTGATCTAAAAAAAAAGTAAAAATTCTGCTGTTCACATACCTATGAGAGGGACAGAGTCAGATGTGGCGGGCATTATCTCAGCAACCAGCAGCATAAAAACAGTGAGAGACAGCAGCACGGTGATACCTGCAGGTAAACACAGAGACACAGGTGGTTTTCTGATACTTCAGCTGCACTTCGTTAGCCAGTCGATATTGGACTTAGGTTTCCTTGTGTGTTCAGTGTTTTGATAAACGGTTAAGGCTCATGATGAGATCTGGTGCGATTTATGTAAATTAATCAGTAACGTTTATGTAAAACCAAAACAGCAGAAGAAAATCCTCTCAGACTGAGTCAGAGAGCTGGAAAGCACAGCTTATACTCTCTGTGTATCCACCTCCACATCATTTAGTACCATCCCTGATCCAAGTATTCAATTAAACCCCTGAATTTAGAGGAACGCCATCCGATCTTTAAGTGGTACCATCAGAAGTTACATTCCTGTACTTTCTTAGAAGACAGTGTGTACCTCTTCCTGCCCGCCTCTAATCAATTCAGTAGCCTTAATTATATTGATAGGTTAATTAGCCTCTTGTGTAAGACTTGGCATTTTTCCCTCCTTTAGAGAAACGCTGTATAAACCATTGTCTACTGAGGTTGAGGATATGTTTTGACAAAGCTGCCTTGGCTTCCCTCCCACTTTCATTCCCACTCAGTATGTTAAAAAACATATTATTAATTTAAAATAAAGTGAGAGGATGGAGCACCACAATATCCCAAGGTGATGTTACCGTACAGTAAGTGAAAACAAGGCTGATGTTAGTAGTTTTTTCATCTGAGTTACTCAGCTTTTCAAGCAAAAGACTTAATTTATTTCTCATTGAATTCAAGGTGAAATTCAAACACTAAATGCTGTGGAAAACAATCAACTGTGAGTGAACAAGAAAAAAGATGTTTGATGTTTTCTTTCCTAAAAAGCTGAAGCAGTCTTCGCTTCGGGTCTGTAAAATCAAGATAGCAAAGTCTTTAAGGCTGAGATGACAAGACTGTCAGATCTTTAAAGAGGCTGATGGTGATATTAAAGTTTAATATTGCTGCATACTGCCTTCATTTTTATCCTATTATAGTGTCACTCCTTCGTTTCTTACTTGGTCTGTCCTTCTTCACCCTTTTTCTAATTCCTCTCTAGACTTTGTTTCCATCTTCCCACACCCGCCGCTCCCTGTTTGTAGATATCCAGTAATCCCTCTCCTCTCTCATCTTCTCTCGCTCCCAGTTCGCCTCTTTTGTACCCCCTGATTATCTCCTGAGCCTCCCCTGTGCCTTCACTCTGCAATGTTTCACTTTTAAAGTCGGCCTATATTCACAACCTCGGTCTGAGGGCAGTGAAGTCGGAGATTTGATCTGCTTATGGACCCTTCCTCCTGGATGAATCAGATTGCTTTCAAGTTATGCTGCAAACATTTCTTTTTTTTTTTTCCATCGTGTTGTTGATATTTTGTGTTTCTGGACCAGCACAGATTAAAACATATACATAAAGAAATACCACCTCAGGCAGACAATTACTATGTGAGATGCTGAGGTTATATCGCAGATGCAGTCCTTAACTATAACCAAGAAATATTTTATTTGCACAATACAAACACACACTTAATGGCCCTTCTAAGCATATAGACATGGTGAAGAGATGTTTACACTCTGAAGAAACACGCATCAAGCCTGAAAGCATAATGGCTACAGCAGCAGGGACTACTCCTGTCAGCTAAGAAATGGAGGCTGCAGTTCACCATCATTAATAATAACAGATTAGAAAAAGGGTTGCTTGGTCCTCTTTGTCTCAGTGTCAGCTGTGATATTCAAAAGGTACGACCAGAAAGACATGGAAGCATGGATCCACCCCACCTTGTAATAACAGTTCAGGCATGTTTACTATGCACAGTGTGGGCTCCTTAGTGCTGATTGATCATGGCTTAGATCCCACAGCCTGCATTAGTATTGTCCAAACACTCTGGCTTTAACAAAATATTACTTTTTGCAGCAAAATAAGCTGTTTCTTTTGATAAAAAGCATTCTAACCTTATTTAAGCTGTTGCTCAAACCTAATGATCTTTCGGCTCTCTTAATCATTATCTTAACAGCTTAATTTCTCCCCGTGGAGCTGTCCGGACCTCATAACTGCCCGACAACTTAAATGGCTACTTAACACGAGAGATTAGGAATAAAGGATTATTATTAGATGATTCACTCAAGAACATATAGGGTAAGTGAATCAAATGATCACAAATATGATAGTGATTCATTTTAACAGTGATACTGAGATGCATTTAAACCATGCCCAGTATTATAACTTTACCAATATAACTAAAAAGAGTATTCATCATGTTTCCATTAGAAAGGGCTCAGAATATCTGCTGGTAGGTATTCTTAAAAAAGCAAACTTTTTTGCAAACTAAGTGTCCATCAGTTTACAAATGCAAGGAACAAAGCAAGAACTTTCTGTCTTCTTAGAAAAAGGTATTCAATTCAGGCCTTCAGGCAATTCTTGACCTTCGGAGTAGCCATATTTGCCCCAAAAGACATTTCCAAATGCTTCCCAGAGATGGCCCACTGGAATATAACACATGCATCACTATAATGATCATTTGTAATCACAAACCACTGGACCCATGCCTCTCTGTTGGTGTTCCATGGTCATGTGGTGCTACAAGAAACCTCATCGGTATCTGAGATTTAATTATGGTTATTAGAACCAGTTGATGGGTCTTATATTAGATATTTGCTGTCACATGTTGAAAATAACACATGTTTAGTCTAATTTTATTCTTTCATTCATTGTTTTTTTCTGCTTATATCAGGTCAACCTCACAGGGACAACAGATTTATGAGGGAAACCCAGACATCCCTCTCCCAGTAAACACCCTCCAGTAGGGGAGGCCATTTATTGTACCGTTTATCTCTATCATGACATGTTTATCGTCATGATAAGACTTCTAACTTATTTTCTGAACAATAAATTAGAATCAGTGATCCTTAAAAACTCCAGACAGTGGTTGAGTTGTCAAAAGGTTTAAGTTTTTACAATTTTCTATTCTTTTCCATTCATGTTTTCCACTGGGGCATTGACACATTTACAGATACGATTCAATGCAGGATGATCAGGGATATAAGTAATGCTTCTTTATGGAACTGATGTCCTGAAGAAGCTGAATTTAAATATGTATATTCTTTAGGAGATAGGGTGAGGAGCTAGGTCAATCGGGAGAGGCTCAGTGTAGAGCCGGTTCTCCTCCACATCGAGAGGAGTCAGTTGAGGTGGCTCGGACATCTTCTTCGGATGCCCCCTGGACGCCTCCCTCGGGAGGTGTTCCAGGCACGTCCCACTGGGAGGAGGCCCAAGGGACGACCCAGGACACGCTGGTGAGACTATGTCTCTCGGCTGGCCTGGGAGCGCCTAGGGCTTTCCCCAACAGAGCTGGAGGAGGTGTCTGTGAAGAGGGAAGTCTGGGAGTCTCTGCTTAGTCTGCTGCCCCCACGACCCGGTTCCGGATAAAGCGGGAGACGATGAGTACGAGTACGAGTACGAGTATTCTTTAGGAGTATTATTTATGATTTTAAGGCTTTGGTGGCTATAAGCAGTCACAGCCATAGAGTTACGTAAGAAAAACTGCAAAGACGTAATGTTTTTTAATTTTATCGTCGCTTTTATTGTTATCACAATAAAATTAACCAGTATCATCATAAGAGTGCATATTGCTCAGCCCTACTCTCCATCAAAAAGAGTTTCCATGTCAGGCAGGTTAGACAGTTCCTCTAACGAGTTCTGTGTAAGCCAGAAACATACCTGAGAAATGGCCTGGAAGATGATCCAAACCAGGCATGCACAAAGTACTGTTCTTGAGGTTCGCTGTCCAGCAGGTTTTAGAGGTTTCCCTTTAGCTTCAGCACAGCTGATTCTGATGATTGCAGTTTAGCCAAAGCCTGTTAATCAGCAATCAATGAAAGTCAGCTGTGCTGGAGCAGAGAAACCCCTAAAACCTGCAGGACAGCAGCTTTTGAGGACCGGCTTTGGGCATGTCTGATCAAAACTGACTGGTTTTGGTGAAAAACAGCAGAAGCAATCAATCTATTCATCTTCTGCTTTATCCTGCTGCCACTCATGAGCAAATAACCAAGATATTAGAGCTCTTCCACTTGACTCCAAACCTGGAAGTTACAGTTCACCAGTTCACGTTTCTGCAGAAACACGTCTTTACACTATAATACCAGCTGCAAACCACTTCAACTCACCAAAGATAATGGTCAAAACCCCCCAAAAAAGCACCTCATATAAAGGATGTTAAAATGGTATGGTAGGATTTCCAAGTCAGACACAATAATACAACTCCATGTCAAGGTATACACCACAGCTGAGGAACACAGTCATAATTCCTTGAAGTGGAGTATTCAAGAAAACGTCATGGCCATGAGTATCTCATGGATGTCATTTCTTTCTGCATATTCCTGAGGAATGAATTTGGCATGTAGAGTAAAACTGATCCACTCACCCAGAGAGATCTTTTCTCCAGAGTCAGCTGGTAACACGAAGATCAGCAGGGTCATAGAAGAAAGCAGCACACACGGGATGAGCAGGTTCAGGGCGTAGTAGAGCGTCCGTCTTCGAATTGTAATCACAAACGTCACGTCTGGGTAAGGCTCCTGGCAGCAATCATAAAAAAGCTCATTTCTGGTTCCAGGAACACCTAAAGGAATGAAAACAGAGGAACTGTCCCTGATTATTCATGAATAAGAGCTGTTTTATTTTTTTTTTCTTTTTTTTTTTTTTTATTCAAGATGTTTCCTCCCTCTTACCGACTAGATCCCACTCTCCATTTGGCATGTATCCTGAGATGTCTGCATCAATCATCTGGAGGTCCAGCAGCCAGCCGTCATAAGTCCAGGAGCCAAACTTTAACTCACATTTTTGGATGTCGAATGGGAACCAGCGAACATCTACGTTGCAAGTACTCATAAAGATTCCTGAGAAAACGAAGTGAGATTAGAGGGCAGGGAGTTACAGCCAAACAATCAATGGACAAGATGACTGTGTTGCCCCTCGCAGATTCCTGCAGAGACAGACCAATATGGGGGCACTGAGGGATCAGATCACCCTTGCGCATATCAGAAAAGTTCTCAGAGTTTTTATTCTTTTTTATTTTTATACCTAGTATATATTTTTTTTAAACTCTGTTGCACAGCCAAGCAGCAACAGTCCAAATAGTTAACTGTTTTGGAACTCAGTATGCAGCCTGAAGAAAAGAAAGCTGACACCAGATAACAAACTGCTTCCCATCAAAGACATGTCTATAAAAATCCTGGTGCTTTTCTCCGCTCCTCAGATTGGCTCTGCCTCGTTTGCCATCACACAGCTGTTCGCAAAGCATCAGCATCAACAGAATAAAACATCCACAGCGGAGCTGAAAAAACGAGATTACAGTTACTGCCCTAATGAGATTGCAGCCTTTTATCATGCAAAATAAATGCCCTCACATGTATGCATCACCACGGCACCCTTCCCAGGGTGTTATTCCTGGAAATCGCAATGATCCGCACAGCGGTTCATTGGCAAACTGCGGCTCTTAATGTACTTAAAGGACAAAATTAATCAGGCCTGTTAAGACATTCACACACACACAAACACCAAGGCAAAATGTCAAAGAAGCCTTGCAGCTCACAGAGACATTCATTGTGAGCCTGTCGACACGCAAATGAGTCTTCAGAGTTTGGAGGCCAGCGAGAAGAAGTCAGCAGAATTAATTCTAGTTTCAGAGCATGCATTCTACGATTTATGCTATGAAATTATTTTCAAGGGCTTTTTGGTCTTGGAAAATTAGTTCTTGCCCTTGTTTTATGGGGACAAATTGTTTTAGTAATAACATTATTTAGAACCAGAAGGAACAAAGATAAAACAAAGAAAGTTTTTCCATTTCCTTGCTTATTACCGGTATTAGGAATAAGTAACAGTAGTGGGAGGTATTACTGAAATTCCACCAACATAGTAAATCTGGACCTAATGTCTAATTCCTTAAATATGCACAAACTGATGGCCAATTAAACTAATTCTGATTCTATTGAATTAAACTCTTCTATCAACCAAAATTTTTGTTTAGAGATTATTCTCTTCTCTATAACAGGAGTGTACGACCTATTTGCCCTACTATCAAGTGCCATTAAGTTGATTGGATTTTTAGGTAAGAAAAAAGAAATATATTTGCATAAAACTGAAGTGACAGTACTCTAAATAAACATACAAATTAATTTTGACTTTTTATTGAATTCAGGAAAATCCTGAAAATAATTCTGAAAGTAAAAACTGATGTTATTTGAGACTAAATGTCATAAACGACGAAAACGTTTTGAGAGAAAATATTTTTTCATAGAATAATTAATAGAAAAATTGACATTTGGAAATGATTTCCAAGGGAAAAAACCTCTCTCAAAAAATATTTTCTCTCAGAAGCATTTATTTTACTTTTAGATTTTTTTTCTCCTTTCAGTTCACTTTTTTTTTTTTTTTTTTATTATAATAAAAACAACAGCATACAGAGTAATAAATGGGCTAAAACAAAACAAAGGTTTTGTCTGTTTTTATTTTTCAGTTTAACTTGAGTTTGTTTTTTTCAATTCTAGAAAATGCAGTCTTTGCTTGGCAATGAGAAATGTTTAGCTGTTTTTGCAGATATACATATATGTGTGTGTGTGTATATAACATTTTTGCAGTGTTTGAAATGCTTAGTCCTGACAAGGAAATAATAATTTTATTTAAAACAATTCATTTTTTCTTTTCTTTTTATTGTTATTGTTATTTTTTCTATTTTGATGACAGATCAGCAATAACAATTTACATTACTTTATTAGAAAGAAATGACATAACAGTCCTTCCTTTACGGACCTGAAATAACCCAGATAAGACAAAAACATCCACCTATCCTTCCTTTTGCTTCTCCTTGTATTTCTGTGTCCCCTTTCACAGCAATACCAAATGACCTTGAAGGGGGGAAAAAAAAATCCTATTGAGTTTTCTTTCATTGCTGTCACAAAGCAGCGGCAAAAACATACAGCAAAAATCACTTCCTCATGTGGCATTACATGGCCTTGAGAGCAGACTGCCCGTTATAAATGGCACACAGTCGAGATAAGAGCCAACACCTGCTGCACCTTTTGTTTGAAATGTCATCAATCAGAGCAAAGCAGCCACAACTGGGCATGCAATGGAAACCTAAGATATGTAGTATAGTCACATATTGGCACCCTGGTAACTATAATGATAAAGAGTCTTAAAAGACTAACTTGGAGTTAGAGTAAATTTAGTTATTATGCAAAAAAATCTTGGTAGAGTAATTAGAAATCGTGCTATAAATAACCCAGACTAAGAGCACTCAATAGTATCCTATAATGTCAGAAATTGTTCAGTTTAGATTTCTCAAGAGAATCCATTTGAAAGAAAATCAGTCCCACAGCATAAGCTGTTATTTACTGTGCTTTGTCATGTATTTATTCTGGTTTTCACCCAAAAACAGCCATTTGTTGGCAAAATCATTTCATCTAACTCTCATCGCACCAAAGTGCACACATAGTTAAAGTTTTGCAAATTCCCTATGTTAAATGTTTATAAGATGGAAGGGAAGAAAAGCATTTATTTTTCAATTGGCGTGTAGATAGCGTGACAGAGTGTGGGGAAGAGCAGACTGCTCTACAATAGCCACACTTTGTAGCAATTCTCATCAGTGTTTTTTGAATTTTTTTTCACCTCTATTATCCTTCCTACGGTGTGTAGGAACAAGATAAATATATGACCTGATGGAGCCCAATGGCGAGTGGCTAAATGGCCTTTGATTCGTATTATTTCATAACGCTGAAAAACAGAAACTGATCGATTACCAATTAAAAGTTCCTAGAAACTGAAACGTACTGAGAAAAGTGAATAAGAAAATGAAAAAGTTCGACAGAGACACTAGTTTTATAACGATTGTTTTGGGTAACATCAACCAATGATTTTGGAAAGACAATAATTTCTTAACATGTGATGTTTTTCCCTAATAAATAAATGTACCACAATGTAGTATGAGATCATACTACTACAATAAAAGATCAACTCATTTTAAGACCTTGTATCAATTTTTACAAGTTGTCCCAATGAATTTAGCTGGCATTTGACCCAGGATGCCTCTAGCCTCCTAATTACTGTCAGTAGGATCCTCCAACAGTGGTCAGCAGCTCTAACTGCAGTGGTGTCATTGATCAGGCAATCAAAAATCTCTCCTCTTTCTTTTCCACACCTGAGCTTTTCCTTTAAACCTTCCCTCTGCTGACTCTGATCTAAATCACAGCATAGGGGAGACATAAATACACTCAGCAGCAATGATTCAGTAAATCTGTTCCATGAGCTGGACGATGTCCATGCTTTTTACTGTAGTGGGTAATTGAAGCTTTAACCTCTTGACTCTGCAATGGGACTCACTTTGAGGCTCCTTTAATCTGGAACAGCCGGGGAAAACACAGAGTAAAGACCTGTGAAAGCTCAACGGGGTTGTTACCTTTGCAACAGGAGGTTTAGATAAAAGGAGGAGGAAGTTAGCGCTGTAAACAGTTTATACGAATACCAATGCTGTTTTTATATTGATGAAATATTTATGTCAAATGTAGAAACAAGAAGGCATGCAGAGCCTGCAGGATGAGACGCTGCACCTCGGGGAAATGAGGTAAGAGACAAAGAATGAAGAAAGAGGGAATTTAAACTATTTGAACTATGCATAGTACCGAGCAATGCAAAAGTATTCACACCACTTCACCTTTTCTACATTTTAGCCATACTATAACCACAATCATTGATGCAGACAGTATCGTATCATTGTGACGTAGAAAATATAGTCCAACCTTCTGAATTTCTTTTAGAGGTCAGTTCATTAAGTCACCAAAGATAATCTCAATTGTTTAGTCTTAACATAAATTCCTGTTCTTTAAAGGCATGATGTTGGGCAAAAATTTAAAGCGGCATTATGATATTAAACAAGATTTCATAACTTTTAATGTTTCAAAAAGCCCTGTTTAGTTTATCATATGAAAACTGAAAGAGTATAATTATTCTGGAGACACACTGATTACATAAGTAACCAAGAAGCCTGTGGTAACTATAGAGTAGCTCCAGACAACTACAGCTCAGGTGGGAAAATATGATGGCGGTAGACCCATTATTTCAAGCATTGCAAAAACAAAGCCACTGCTGACAGTGAGCTATAATAATTACTGCTGTAGTTTACTCAAGATATGTAGAGAAAGCTGGAAAAACAGGAAGATAGAACTCAGGTCAGTTTAGATGCATAACACCACTATATAAGAGAGCTAACAGGGAAGATCCATTTGTTATGTAATCAGAGCTGCAAGGTAAAGGTTTAGATCTAATGCCGAGCTGTGAATTCAGCTGAAAATGTGTTGAAAACTTTAAAAAGTGATGATCAAGCAAGCTTTTTGTCTAATCTGACTGAGATTTAGTTTATAAAAGCTGCAAATATAGTAACAATGAATGCATTTACAATCTTGATTCTTATTTGTAGAAAAGGGAAATGCATCACAACAAATATGAATGAAGTACTTTGAATTTAGTGGCTGTAATGTGAAAAAAAAGGTTTATGGTTTATGAAGAAAGTAGGTACAGGAAGAGAAAATCCAACCTGGAGGCAGATACTTGGCATAGCCACTGGAGTTCACCAGGACGTTGGTCTTAAACGTGGAGTCGAAGTCATCATCTGCACTGAGGGAGGACAGGGAGGGAAATGTCACAACCTTTTGATGTGCAGGTGTGTGTGTGTGTATGAGGTTTGTGTTCAGGTGTTTTACCTGTTATAGAGCAAAATGTCTGGAGTCCAGATCTGATCGGTGGTGAAGCGAAGATTTTTCACCCCAGGGTGTTCGCTCTGGTTCCACTGCAGGTAGTGATCGTACCAACTCTGTAAACCCACAGATAAGATTATACGGACCAGCAGATTTACAGGAGAGATACTTTATTATCAGTTCAGCCTTATCAGAAATAGAAATATACAAAAAGATCTAAGAGAGGAATCTAATATGCAGTTGAAACATGTGTGAACATTGCATGCCTTCTCAGAAAGTTCACACCATACAACAGCAGCATACAAAATTAAACATTTGCAAAGACTGCAGCAAAAATTATTCTTCAGCAATTTCTAAAGAGAACCTTGTGCACCATCAACAGTTACAGCCAGCAAGCATTTGTCTTCATTTGAAGTATATTAATTTCTACTATTGTTACTTTTTACTGAGAAGACCAATACAGTCTTAAATAAAAAGTATATAATCAGTTAATTGATCTAAGTGATTGATATGAAATGATAAGGATGATAAGGTCCTAAAAAAGGTTTTAAATTCACACAAAAAAAGAATCATTAATCAGATTCGCTCCCTGTAACATCAGCAGGTGTGTTGAGCTCGATTAAAACTGTTTTGAAGCACACAGCTTTGCATGTTAAGAATGTCATGGGGGGAAAACATCAGCAATAACATTAAATACTGTCTAATTAAGGATCATTAAGGATCATTACCAGTCTTCCCAGAAGATAATCTCCTAGGAAATTCAACATAAAATCAAGATGGTGTAAAGCTCACTGGTACCGTAAAAGACCAAAGATTTATATTCCCAGCTCTTTAGTCCATGGTAATCATATTAAGGTTAAAGTTATTGGTGTTATTATCACTAAACCTCAATAAGTGTGTTTCCTCTTGGACATATTGCAAAAAGAAAATCAAATATCTAAAAAAATAAAAAATAACGGAAACCATCCAGGAAGCTGAATTATAACCGAATAACAAAGTTGTATTTAAACTGCATGGTAGGGTAAGGGTTAGGTTTGGATTTGAGACACCACATTGATTCTGCTTTATAATATATATATTTTTTTACAATTGTAATGCTATTTATCAAGCTTAAGCTTGCTTTAAATACACATCCCCATAAAGTCGAGCCTTTAAAGCTGCACATCTGCAAAACAATAGCTGCAAAAGAAAGATGCTAAAATGTTAATTTGCTGATCTGGGACATTGCGAGAGCTGTGCAGAAACCAGTGTTTACAAACCCTAAATAACCCCAAGCAATGCTGTAAAACATAGTGGATAATAATCCCTGCAAAATGATGTAAGATGGAAAAATAGTTATTATAGGGAATGCTGGTAAAGGTCTTTCTACAACACAAAGAAATATGGTGTGAACATGACTATAGATACAGCTTTTCTATCATTATGGCATCAGATCTGCTGTGTGACTTTATATTACACTTTAGTGGTGCAAGAGCCAACAATTGCCAACAATTGTCCAATTGTTGTTTTTTTAACAATTAATGCATTTGCACAGTTAAATTAAGGTAAAGACTTGCTTTGTTTGTAGTTTTTTTTTCCCTTATTTCCCATTAGGATTCATTTAAATGGTACTTTTCAAAGTGAGGCATGTGTTTTTTTTCCAGCTCTAAATTTAGAAATACTGGGTTACGCTGCGTCTTCTGACCTTAATTGGGGTGTTACAGATTATATAATGTGGTTCATAAAAACTGCACACCTAGAACAGCAGAAATGTGAAACAAACAGTCCTTACCATCTGAAGCCACATGTTGGAGGTTAACACCTGGTTCTTCTCATCCTGAAAAACATTTCAATGTATTTTCTTTGAATAATGTCATCTGTGAATCAAAAGACATGTTTTTTGGAAAGTAGCTGCAGATTTTAAAATATAACAAATGCAGAATAACAAGGCATGCTTCAAGTTTCCATGGTCTGCATAAGTAGTTTTATTCATGCATATGATGGCTGTAACTAAATTAGGAAGAATTAATTAAGCATGTTAGTGAGCATTTATAGCTGTAAAGCTCCTTTTCTTTCTTGGGATCAGTTGGGACTCCCTAAAAAAAAAATCTAGTCGAAGGCTGCCTTTTATGCAAGCTTTACGATCCAGAGACATTTTACTGTGGAAGCTAAAAGTAGAATCCCAGTTCTCTGCGAGAAAAGAAAAACTAAACATCCCTTTAATATTTCAACAGTGAATATATAAATGCTCTATTTAAAAACATTCCTTTAAAATTAATAACGAAGAAAGCACTTTTAATATATTCAGTTGATAAATTACCATCAAACATCCCTTGTATAAGTGAGTCTAACAATGGGTCTAACGAACTGAGATTTGGGACACAGATTTATTACATATTGTAAAATCCAAGTCTTCACAAACAGTTCTGTGGGACTCTCCAACGCACAGGAGTTTAAAAGAAAACAAAATATATAAAATAAAATTATTAAATCTCTTCAGCACAGGAATAAACAGTGATGTCACTGTACAACCTTAACAAAAGGAAGGAAAAACATAAAAAAATAAATAGGGGGCAAAGAGAAGAACCCTTTGGAACTCCATGATAAGAACCTATTTAAAGGTCCATCAAGCTAAACAGGTAACTAAATCAAAGTGAACTATTTAATGCCAAAACTAAAACTGGATAGCCCACAGATCCAAAGCCATGGATCTGATTTCAGTCTTTGACTGCCGATTGCTCTGCATCCCTAACAAGTTCTTAGATCCTCTAAGGAGAGCTGATTAATCAAAGTCCAATTTTAAAGGGCAACTTTTAGTCAGCAAGCTGTAGATTTCTTAAGTAATATCCAGTCCAAAGACATTAAAGACGTTTTTAAAAAACTGAGACATTAAATTTAAAAGACATAATGTTGGATTAATATAGTCTGACAAAGAGAGATGTAATTAGAGCAGCAATGCTTGCATGAACCTACCACATCCATGATCTGTATCAAATTGAGAGTAAAGTAGACCTTCAGAGGATGGGAATCATTTCCCACTGGCCGCTCCATCCGGTTGTAGTCCTTCAGGAGGTTTTTTAGCAGGTTCCTTTGGTGAGGCCCCTGCACCGACACTACAGAAACAGCAAAGCAGGACTGTGTGATCTCCCATAAAATCTCAAACAAAGATTATTACAACATTAAAGGAAAACCTCAATCAGTAAACTATAAATGGGATTTAATAACACCCAAAGACAAAAGTCGTTTGTAATAGATATTAATCAGAACATTTTATTCAGAGAAAATTAACTTTTACATATAAGGTCAATTTTAGGGAAATGCGACTACGCTGAAAATGTTAAATGGGGTGAAATAGGAAATTTAATTGAGAAATTAATCCGGTGCTTTATCATGGGATGAGGCATGATGTAAAAATCCTGCTCTTCACTTAGAATAAATGACTTAACAATTATAACAGAATAATAGGATCCAGAGGGAATTTAAAAAAGAGCTTTAAAGGGAAACTCAAAGAACCCTTGATAAATATTAACAAACAATATCAGGGCACAAGTCGCTTGGAGGTCAAAGTGAAAAACTGTTTTGCATAACTTAATGTATCCTTCTGTGTCACTTCGGGTTTTTGAGATCCTTAAGTTTCTATCATCACACTATGTGGGCCCAAAAATATAAAATCCTAAAAAGAAACAGGAAACATGTGCATATAATAACAGAAAAAGATCATATTATATGAAAATAAATCATATTAATATTAATATTAGCCATGCAAAAGTAAAAAGCTGGAAAACAAGAGTGAGCCCTGTGGCAGAGATAAAGATATATGCTGTGGAGAAATACCCCCAGACCATCAAGACAACTGGGAATGTTGCATGAAAGCATTAAGTTTATCTTCTTCTACTGAAGGTGTTTGAATTTGTATTTGTTCTCCATCTATACAAAGTCTCTCCTGATGTCAGCAGTTTGTATTAAATCTAAACTCTCTTCCTGCAAATGACCCAGTTGCATATTTATTTCTGAAAAGAGGCTACTTATACTGTAGTTGTAGCTGCTTAACAGACAGCTATAGGAAAATAAAGTTTTGTCACCTACATTACATAAACCCTGACAGGTAAAACCCATGCTAATAACTTTGAGTAAAGTGCAACTGTCACAGACAATCGAAGCTGTTCTGGTGATAGTAGTTGCTGGCAGGAACACAGAAGAACAGTAAGATGACGTTTATCTGACTCCTTTCAGAATGCGTTTAAATTTCACCAACAAGAGGTCAAGTCTCCAGCTGCACCCAGGTGTTTGGGCTTTCTCTCTACAATTCGGAGGTCTTCAACAGGGGTCCATGACCCACAGGGGGTCCACGGAGTTACTGGATGGGGGTCGCGAAAGTTTTGGTTGATCAGACCTTTTTTTTTATATTGCCACGTACAATTTTTTCCACTAATTGAAATGTTTTTAAATACACATTTACAATAAATTCAACACACTGCCGTAAACAGATAAATGGAGGCAGAAGATGTCTTTCAGTCATCAATTCAGCGACACACAGGAGCTCTTTGAAGCTGGGCACCGTTTCATTCACAACACCTGTCCCATCAACCAGGAATCCAAATCACAAATACTTTAATAATCCCAGGGAGAAATTACTTTTGTTATATTACTCCATATGTAATAGAGAGACTATAGGACCAGTTTGATATAACACAATTTCATACAATATATATAATTAGGGGGTCCCCGGTCTATCTCTTCATCAGTTTGTGGGTCCTTAGCCTGGAAAACGTTGAAGAGCCCTGGTCTACATAAACTACTACTGAAATGTTCAGTTCATGAACGTCAACCCAAGCTGTAGGCTTTGCTACCATGACTTTGTGTAGGATGGCCATTGTGTTATACTTAAGTACCTGAGTTTTATTTTCAAATTTGACTTTAGAATCATTGATGTTTAACTAGCTTACACTCGCTTTTCCTTTTCACTACATTTTTTTATATTTTTTTTATTTCAGAACCACAAATTAATGTGACCTTTTGATTGAAAACCACAGTAAAAGCAAATCTCTGGAAATGATCACTTTCTACCCTTAAAAAATAGCCTTTAAACACAAACAGCCATAAGCATTGTTTTACAGCTATACCAGGTTGACCAATCACTGTCACAAAAAAAATATATTTTAGATTAAACCATTACTCTTGCCAGTTTGAACATATTTATATTGCTGTACAATTTCTTCCTGTTTTAGAATGATTTTTGTTTTTGTATTTTTTACAGAAAAACATTGAAGTCCAATCAGAGTACAGTTATAAAGCTTGTTTTAAGGCACCCATGGGCGCTTAAAGGTGCAGCAGAAGCTAGAAAAATGCTTAAACATAATCAGGGACGACTAAAGTAAAAAATATTAATTTGCTTCACAGTGAATCAAAGAGAGGGAGCAAAAACAGGAATTTTAAATTATTTAATTTCTGTCTTTGTTGATGTGTAGGACGTTGGATGATCCAAAAGTCTGACCCCAGCAAGAACTAAATAATAATCATCACATGTTTTTTGTTTTTTCCTTTTGCAGTTGTAGATCTTCAGGTCTGTGGCTAAAATGTGATGCTGTGGGTGTAATTATTGTTTTCAAAGTTTTCAAAGATCTGTTCTAATTGTTTCTGTCAATGGATCCAGAATTTCTGAAAATATATTCAGTTTGCGCATGAATAGTAGATTCCAAGGTTTTCTGAAGGTATTTTTGTTTTTCTTTTAACTCTAGCAGCTATTTTCACTTACTTTCAGTCAAATCATGAACTTCTTTTATTTCTTCTGTGTTAAGCCAACTAAACATCAAGGTTTCTGGCCAGTTAATACCATAAACCAGCCATTACCCACCATTTTTACAACCTCGCTACACTGCATATAAATAATTTTCATATAAGCATCTTAAAGAATTTTATGTATAATATAGTCAAATATCCTTATATGTTCTTGAGATTTTTCTTTCTACACCTTTTTTTTAACATGGTAGATGCAGATTGCTCAAAGGGGAATAGAAGTACCAAATAGAAAAGAGACAAAACGATCAGCAGCTGAACATAGCAGTATAAAACATCCCAAAGTCAAGGACTCAACCCACAGACATTTTAAAACCCATTCTCCAATATCACACGAACCAAAAAAGCTCACAAAATAAATTTTGAATAACACTTAATGATGACGTTGAGATGGATTTTGAAAGATGACAAGATAGACTGACCCTGCAGAAGGTAATTTGTAAGAAAAGACTTGAAATATATAAATATTTTTCATGGTTTTCTATGAAGCAGATAGATAGATAGATAGATAGATAGATAGATAGATAGATAGATAGATAGATAGATAGATAGATAGATAGATAGATAGATAGAT